ACAACATACAAAACAAGGGAAGGTCAGTGCCATAAGAAGTAAGCAGGCACAAGAAAATAAAATCCTACCGCATAGAAGTGCAAATGTCTACCCTAACTAAGTTCTCCATCATGGTATCAATGACGCCTTCGGTACCCTAAGATATGACCTCTCTAATCTGCAAGGGCGACACGAAGCTCAAAAGTCAATCATTGGCAACATTCACATCCTAAAGCATGGACACAGAAAAAACAAGTGGCGCCCCATTCTGTGCAGGAGAATGAGTTCTTGTCTCTGGAGACACCCCGATTGGAGAGGTAGTTAAAGAAGGTGCCTAGACAACTGGAAAAGATGGAGGAGTCGCCTGCGCAACCCTAGTGGAGTAAAGAGCCTTTACCCTTGACCTATTTACTTTGGAACTAGAATAAAAGAAGTTAGCTTTAGCATTTGAAAATACTCTCAAAAATTCACCATAAAGATGACACATTTCTCTTGTCGTGGGCTTGTGAAGAAGATAAATCATCTCTAGAAGATGAGCCCCCACCTTGACCCTCTTTAAACATAAAGGTCCCATAATCCTTTACAGGATGAGCCCTCGCACCCTGAAGTCTTCTCTCTTGGTCTGCTAACAACTCTGAAAAACCTGAAAAGGAGTTGAATACATGGTAAAGACGAAAGTGACATAGCAATTGGATGGAGATAAAAAGGGTGGGATTTGTACCTATCTTCTTGAGTGCACCCCATCCCACGGGAACCAAATCTTGGTCCTCCTCAACAACTCACTCTCCTCCTAGAAAATAAGAATTGAGTTTTCCAACTATGACAGTCGGAGTGCAGTCCAATAATCAATTTTCCTGCCCTTGGAGTAAAGTGATACCAATCTCAATTGGAGAACTGGGTTCTCATGTAATGCATAAGCAACAAAAAACTCTTCACATAAAGGAGAGGCGTCATGCCATGTACACATCTCCATAATGTGAACACACAAGTGCTGGCATCAGAAACCTCAAACATGCCTCTAGCACCTCATGATAAATAGCAATGTCCCCCAAGTAGTCATCAGATGTTGGCTCACCCCCATCTCAGTCCGACAACACAAACATCGTAGGGAAAATACAAAAAGTGGATATAATCCTAGCAATCTCAGCATCAGTATTGAGGGAGCTAGAAATAGTGCTCACCTTAGAATCGTCATCGCCAAGGGCTATTTTCCCACGATGTTTGCTTGGTTGTGGATGATGGGTAACACTAATTCTACCACAACCCAGTGTGCCTCGCATCACATCAGCTTGCTCGAGGACCCCCCTGACGACCTCTTCAACACCCAGCAGCCCTAGCCTTGGAGCCTTAGTGTCTAGCGCCCTGGCTCCTAGTGCCTTGGCCCCTTGCGCCTTGGTGCTTGGCGCCTTGGCTCCTAGTGCCTTAACACTTATCTCTGGCGCCTCACTTGATGCCTCAGTCTCCAACGCACTATCTTTGTCCGCCTGCTGTTGGCCTCCCTCTCCGTCTGTGGTCTCCTTCTTCTCCTTGTATCCCAAGCACTTATTCTTCCTCCACCACTCAACATCTATTTTCTCTCTCTTTTCTTTCTCAGATTGATGTGGGGGTTGATGTAAGGGGGTCCTATTTATAGCCCCAAGTTTTATATTTGTCAGTATTCTAATCATGTTAGGAATCTCATTAAGATTGGGATGTAGCTTCCTAATCAGGGTGAAATGAGGAGTCTTAATTAGTATGGAATGAGGTTTCCTAATCAAATTGGAATGTGATACCCAAAACAGGCTAGAATGAGAAGTTCTAATCAGAGTGGGATGAAGAGCTATATCTGAAGCATTAGGGCAAAAGACAAGGTTCTCAGGAGAAAGTCAAAACAATGATAAGGCTTCCCAAACATGGTACCTTCCAACCTAGTTGAGTGAAAGGAATTCAAATCTCAAAAGCAATGATCGTGGCCGATTTTAGGAGGACACAGTCAATACCCGAAAGGAAGGGTCAGGAACATGAGACAAAATTTATCCTTACTAATGCCCTCTCCCCTAAATTTCATTGGGCTCGGAGCATGAGGAGCAAATGATGGACTCAACCAAACTTAGAGGCTCAATTTAGAAATGCAAACCAGGACCAGCTCAAATATACAAGGCAAACCCGCCACAGAATCAAGGAAGCTTAGTCAAGTCAGCATCGCTATCTTGAGAGACTCAGCTCACAACTGACACACGAGACAATTCCGTGAAGGTGACGCCACCTCCACCGAACTGCCTCAACTTGTTACAATGAATGATGCCTCAATCTGTTAGGAGATGCTTGTAAATTGTAAGCACCAACTATACAGGGGAGCATCACTCACATCTGAACATTCAACTCCTTGAGCATTGAAGCCACCATAGCATTTCATAGTGGAGTATATCATTCTGACTGAACCACTTAATTTTTACTTGTTTGTTTTGAGTCTCCTTCTTAATTATTGCATTAAATACTTGACATGTAATATATAAACTCATCTTGTGCATCATCAAAGCTTATTAATTTTAAGGCTAATGTCACCCCCACATGATATAATTTGAAAGAAATTGAAATAAATACCTACTTTGACCATCTTATTCTTATCTTCCGTGGCTAGCTACCATCCATATTTTATCATTTTATTGACTATTCTTAAATTGAAATCTTATAGATTGAGCAAACTTATTTCGATTGAAAAAATAAATTGAACGTGCATATTTTTTCCTTCCATCATTTTTCTTCTAATACCAAATAATGATAAATTTATCCTTTTAATTTTTTATCCATCTTATCAAATAACAACATTGAGAGAAATTATATTTACTTCATTTATGAATGGAGAATCTATTCCCCCTATTTTTATTTTTTTTTCACCTATTTTACCTTCTACTAAGTACACCAATCCATAAGTAAAATGAGGAGTTTTGGTCTCTTTTCTTCCCCTGATTAGTTTACAAAGTTATTGTCAATTGTATAAGTGGTTCCTTCTTCGGTAAGTTTTGAATAATACTAAGCTAAGCTAATATACATATTTGTTCGGAACATATGACAAAGTCTTCTCACAATGTAAAAACACACAAGTGTCAATATTATTTTAAAGGGCTTAAACCCTTGACCTCAAAAAGACAAAATATTTATAAAGTAAAAAGTACTATTATACCAAATGTCCGTTGATACTAAACCATATCAAATTGCATAAATAAAGGATTAATATTATTAAGATTTAAAATATTAATTAATTTATTGACTTAATAATGTAACAGTAATAAAATCCAATAATATTTATGTGACTATAATTTTTAGATTTTTTTTATTAGAATTCTATCACTTAATACATTATTATATGAACAAATTAAATTAATTTTTTTTATCTCTCATTAATCTAAACAAATTAGGCCATATTTTTTTAAAAAAAATTTCAGTTACACTACTTCTAGTTTACTATATCTTCAAAGACACTCCTTATATTTTCTAAATCTTTACTAACACCCTTTGTTAGATTGAAGATGTTAATTAGAAAGTAATTTTATTAAATTTTCTATGATATATTTTTCATCCACAACCCCTCTAGATACACATACCTTCAATGAGACCCTTTTTTTTTTTTTTTTAATTTTATTTACGTATTAAAATTTGAGGTAATTAAAATTCGATTCGAACAAATTAAAATTTATTTCTTAAGTATTAAATTTGAGTGATTAAAAATTATATTTTTTTACTCATTAAAATTTGAACCGATTAAAAAATATTTTTAATCAGCTCAAATTAAATTTTAATCAACTCGTAAAGAATTTTAATCGGTCCAAATTTGAATACATAAAAAATATAAATTTTAATACAAAAAAATAAATTTTAATCAACTTGAATCGAATTTTAATTAGCAAGAATTTTAATAAGTAAAAAAAATATAAATTTTATTCGACTTGAAATAAATTTTAATCGGCATGAATAACTCAGGTAGAGCTCAAATTGCCTTACATTTTTATATGAATTTTTTTTAATAGACTCGAGTTTTAATATGTAAAAAATAAAATTTAATCAGTTCGAATTGAATTTTAATTGACTTAAATTTTAATATATAGAAAAACGAATTTTAATCAACTAAAATTTTAATATGTAAAAAAATAAATTTTAATTAGCTCGAATTTTATGTAGAAAAATTATTTGGTGTTCATGTATGGGTTTTTAGATATATTTTTTTTATTAAAAATAGTGGTTTAATAACATGTATGTCAATAATGTTTAGATATAAAGTAAAAAAAAAGTATTAGTGGTGTTTTTGATAATTGAAGTCATATCCTTAAAGATGAAATAAATTATAAATTAGGGGGAATATGGTTAAAAGTTTTCCCTTCTTTTTCTGCAACGGTTCTTGCTGTCCCATTCTTAGGTAGAGCTCTCAGTCGAACGAGTTCAAATCGAATTTGAGTTGAACTTGAAAATTTTGTTTTTCAATCGAATTTTAAAAATTATTTAAATTCAACTCGTTTAAAAATTGAGTCGATCCTGAACGAGTCGAACTCGAGTATTTGCATATAAATGAGGCAAGTTTATTAAGTTTGAGCCGAACTTATAAGACTTGTTTTCTAATAATCTTAAAAATTTGTTTAAGTTCGAATTCATTTAAAAAATAAACTGAATCCGAATCTGAAGGAGTCCAACCGAATCAAACTTTAGTCAAGTACGAATAATTTAATTTTGATTAACTGTCTATTCTCAAGGTGGAATAGTTCAATTTGATTAACCGTATGTTCCCAGGTCAGCAGTCAAAAAGGCGTATGCCCAACCTCGTCATTTCTGTCTTTTTCGGGAACTGTGAAACCACAAGAGGAAAGCCGTTGAGAGAATCGACCACCACTTTTTACTTTTTTTTGCTTTTGGGTAATTTCGACCACCAATTTTTACTTTTTTTTGCTTTTGGGTAATTTTGTCACTTTCCCTTTTGCTAGCTAGTAGTGACACTCGTAGTCTTATCATAATTTTGGCTTGATTTTAATAATTGGTTCTAGACAGAAAAGATGAAAAACAGAGGTGCAGGATACCTGAAGCAGGTTATGGCGCTGCTAGTGTCGGCGGCGAAGAACAAGACGGTGGCTGTGAAGAGCAAAACGAGGGCCATCAAGGCTCGGCTGATCATATTCTCGCTGTTAAGGGACAAGAAGGTGCTGCTGGGACCCATCTCTAACAAGCTCCACGCCTGCCTTCTCAGTGTCAGCCAAAGCCAGGACCATACTTATAAACAGCAACATTGGAGCGCAGTTGAAGCGTGCGGGGACCAGAGCAACTCTATTCTTCTGTACAACAAAAAGAATGCCACTGCCACGGCAGCGACCAATATCCAACAGTTCCACTTTCACACCGAGGAGGATTTGGTAGATCAAAAGGCTGAGGCGCAGCAGGAGCATTTGCTGCATAGGTGGATGTATGAAGAAGAAGAAGAAGAAAATGATGAAATGGAGGGTTCAGTGATAGATCAGCTGGTGAGGAACTCAAAGGAGAAAGAAGGGGAGGAATATTTCAAACTGGAGGAGGAGGAGGAGGAGGAGATAGACATAGACCTGGTGGCGGACTTGTTTATAAAGAGGTTCCACCGTCAGATGAGGATGCAGAAGCAGCACTGCTCTTTCAAAAACTACCAGGAGGGAGGACATGATGCAGCGAAGCCTCTGACATGTCAATTTATTCACCCACAAAACTGATCATATATCCAATGATTTTTCCCTTGTTTATTATGTTTGTTCTTCGAATTAAGGAACTTATCTCATGCATCTCTGTTTTTTTTTAAACCCCTGCAAGCGAATCTCATGCATCTGATAGTATAAATTCAGGGAATACCTCTCTTATCTCGGAGATTATGAACAAATTGGTGTTGTTCTTGAATAGAAATGAGGGTTTTTGTCTTCTTTATCATTATTGAGTCAAAACATTCAAGTGGGTGTGTTGTGATTTTTATTTTGGGGTATTAGGCGTAATACATAGATTTCCAATTGACTAACAAAAGGAAATTTAAAGAAAACAGTCACAAATTGTCGTCCCAAGACAAGTGTGATGAATGAATTCTTTCAAACATGGAGTCTAAATGATGCAACAACCCAGCAGAATGTTTTTGGACTCTCTTATTTGTTGGGGTGTTAAGGTTGGTTTGGTACCACATCACCTGGATTGGGTCAAATTTGGCCACCCTAACATTGTTGCATTCATAATGGATGGATGTGATCGGCTTCCACTTCCAGATATAGAGATAATGGGATGGGGTACATTTTTTAGATCTTATTTGGCTTTAAGTTCCACCTCCAAACTTATCCTCCTTTAACTCCTTTATTTCATGACTTATTTGTCAATAAGTATACATTTTAAAACATTTTTAAATTCTTTTTGAAATGTATTTCATATTTACCCCTACCAAAAATAGGTCATACATAATATACAACTTTTATATTTCTAATATCTAAATATTAGAAATGAGACTTTCAAGATTCCTTTTAATATTTGTGTATCATTTGAATTTTAAAATTTTAAGTCATATTCTTCTTTTATATCTTCTTCCCGGTTCAAGAAACTGCTTTTGTATTCCTTCTTCACCGGTTCAAGCATTTATCTCATTGTATTTCTTCTTCACCAATTCAAGCATTTCTCTCACATGTTCAAGAATATTCTTTACCAAACAGGACACCATTAATCTGTAAGTATTCAAAATTCCGACATTCAGCATCTTCATGAAATTTTCGAAATTGTGGAGCATTAATTTTTTTTTTTATTCTATTGGAATTTTTCAGAATAAAATAAACACTAATTTTTGTTGGTCATTTAATATTTTCAATGTTTAATCTATTTTTCCATTCCGAAAAAATAAATGAAACTCTCATGCTAAAATGATTTGATGATTGGAACTAGTTTTTTTAAGTTTCTACCTTATTTTTTTCATGAAGAGTTTTGATTTTTATGGAATGAAATATGATTTATTGTTTCGTGTAACTCTTTCATTCAGCATCTTCATGAAATTTTCGAAATTGTGGAGCATTTTTTATTTTATTCTGTTGGAATTTTTCAGAAACAAGAAACATTAATTTTTGTTGGTCATTTAATATTTTCAATGTTTAATATCTTTTTCCATTCCAAAAAGATAAATGAAACCCTCATACTAAAATGATTTGAAGATTGTAACTAGTTTTTTTAAAGCTTCTATCTCTCTTTTTTCATGAAGAGTTTTGATTTTTCTAGAATCGAATATGATTTTACTGTTTGGTGTAACTCTTTCATTCGGTATCTTCATGAAATTTCAAAAATTGTGGAGCATTTTTTATTTTATTCTGTTGGAATTTTTCAGAAACATGGAACATTAATTTTTGTTGTTCATTTAATATTTTCAATGTTTAATATCTTTTTCCATTCTGAAAAGAAAAATAAAACTCTCATGCTAAAATGATTTGAATATTGTAAATAGTTTTTTAAAGCTTCTACTTCACTTTTTTCATGAAGAGTTTTGATTTTTCTGGAATCGAATGTGATTTACTGTTTGGTGTCAATATTTTGTTTTTTAATTTTTTTTTGGTCATTGATGAAATCTGGAACATGCATTATCATATATGATTTACTGTTTGTTGTCATTCTTTCGTTTTGGTAACCTGTTACTGATTTTCTGTTTATATACATATTTAAGGTCATGGAGGAAATGATCATGCTATTATGCAAATATCGTCTTGAGACGTTAGTTATGAGATGTTCAGTTCTTTCAAGTTTTGATTTCATTTTGCATAGAGTTTGTGAGGAATGGGATGAGTTGAGATATTGGATGTGCGTATATCATATTCAATTCCAGGTCATCCGAATTGTTCAATACAAAATGATAACGACATGAAAAATATGTTTAAGTTAGTACGTTTAATTAATGTCAACCATATTGAAGTGAGGGTGTATGTGTCTAATGATACTTCAATTGTTGTGGTTGATAATGAGTTGCTTGAAGGTGTTAATATTGTTGAAGGTGGAGTTGAATATGAGGTTAATTTACTTCCTCGTTTTTGTTCACATACTGACAAAGTTCTTTTAACATCTGGGTGGAAAAATGAAATCAAGTGTGAAGGTCAGAAGTTTGAAGGTGGTGTTACCTATTTTCGAACTATTATATGCAAATATGCAGTTGAGGTTGGGTTTAATTTCAATTATGCGAAGAATTGTAAGACAAGAGTAGTTGCGGAATGTGCGTCGAAGTACGTTACAGGATGCGAGTGGGATGTCATTGCTATTCTTCAAAGGGTGAATGGTTTCTTTTACATAAGGAAACTACAAAACCAACACACTTGTGGATTAACTCTATGCATAACCCAAAACAAGAGGATGTCTTCCAATTTGATTGCAGATCTAATTGTTGACAATATCTGTGAAAAGGCGAACACTCGTCCAACTGAGGTGGTTAGCGATTTTCGTTCATCGTATGACCTTACAATATCATATGACCGAGCATTTTTAGGTGTTGAAAAGCAAAAACAATGCTTTTTGGGGATTATTCTTTGTCTTATAATCAATTACGTTGGTATGTAGATGCAGTGAATAATACAAATGCCGGTAGCCATTTAGTGCTTGATTGTGATCAAATATCTAACTGATTCTATAGGTTATTTGTATCATTCAAGGCATGCATTGATGAGTTCAACTATTGTCGGCCTATTTTGTTTGTTGATGGAACCTTCCTTAAAGGAAAGTACAAATGAAATATTCTTTTGGCCATTGGAAAAGATGGAAATCAAGGCATAATTTTGTTTGTATATGATGTTTTTGTATTATTAAACTGTTACTGTTTATTGTCTTTCTTTGTTTTTTTTTGTCGTAATTGAATCTATATACTGTTACTGTTTATGTTTTTTTTTTTTTTTGGAAAGTTTTTTTGAATCTGTTGTTTTTTTGAATCTGTATGTTATTACTCTACTTGGCAGGTTTATTCCCTTTAGCCTATGCGGTGGTCGATTTAGAGAATAAGACTAAATGGAATTAGTTCTTACAACAATTGTCGGTGGTTTTGGATCTTAAATGAGTGCTTACATTTGTGTTTGACCGGAGTGCTGGGTTGTTGGAAGCAATGCCCAAGGTTTTTTTGAGGTGCCACCATGCTTTTTGTTTGCAGCATTTGAAGGCAAACTTGAGGGACAAGTTTAGCGGGTCTCGATTTTCAAATGTCCTGAGAAAGTATCTGATAAATTTGTTTCGTGAGGCCGCATATGCTCAAACAATTGCAATATTTAATGAGAATATTAAAGCTTTAAGATGTGAAGGTGGACCCAATGTGGACAGATTCTTGAAAAATCTTTCTTATGAAAACTGGGCAAATGCTCATTTTAAAGGTAAACGTTACAGTGAGATGACCTCTAATGCAGTGGAGTCATTTAATTCTTAGATAATTAAGGCACAAAATTTACCGATCACAAGCATGGTGGAAACTATACGGGGACAACTAATGAATCAGATGGGGTGCAGTTTGGCTACATCTCACACATGGAATGTAAATTTGTGTCCTGCTATGGAATCTAAATTACATATTGCATTTGTTGAAGGGAGATCTTGGTCTGTGAGGGTTTCAAGCAACGAAGTCTACAAAGTCAACTCATATTCTTCGGTTTCTGTTGACATTCAAAATGGAACGTGTACATGGTTTCAGTGGCAAATTAATGGTTTTCCTTGTTCTCGTGAGGTAGCTGCTGTACGTAAAAGTGGGAGGAATATGAACGAGTTTATGGATTATTATTATCATGTGAGCACATACATGAAAGCATATTCTCAAGCTATATTTTCTATCCTGACACTTTGTCGTCCAGATTTATCGATGTAGGAAGCTGAGATATTGCCGCCATTATCTAAGAAACAGCCTGGTAAATCAAAGAAGTGTAGAATAAGGTCACGTGGTGAACTTATAAGGCGAATTCGATGTGGCTGTCGTGGACGGTTAGGAAGCCACAACAAAAAAATATGTAATGTGGCTTTGTGATTGGATTACTATTTTAAATTAATATTTTTTCAGTGTTCATTTAGTTTTGTTGATCGGAGTTTTTTTTTCTTTTTTTAATTCCATAAAGAGTGTCAGCTAATAGTTAGTTATACAACTAAAAGTAGTCCAATACAATCCATACAAAATAAGTGATACCACATATTAAAGTATATATTGTCATCAAATAGTGGACACAAATATTAGACATACAAATAGTGTCACTAAAGATTTACAGGAGATAAAGATAAATATACACCAACCAGTGGCGTCATATAATGCCTCTTTAATAGTGCATGAGTAGTGTCAGTAAAGAGTGACAACAATAAATTGAACCTAAATGCTGACAATATATATTGTCCATTCAAAGACTTGCACCTAATGAAAGAGTCAAAAAATTGTCATGTAAACAGTGTCACCAAAGAAAGACACGAGACATTGATAATAAGGGGTCCAATCAATGACATCATGTAATGCCCCCTTGATAATGCCCAAGTAGTGTCACTAAAGAGTGACAACAATAGATTGACCATAAATGATGACAATATATATTGACCACTCAAAGAGTTGCACTAAAAAAGGGATTCGAAAAATTGGCATGCAAACAGTGTCACCAATGAGAGACACGAGATAATGACAATGGGGGTCCAATCAATGGCATCATGTAATACCCTCTTGATTGTGCTGGAGTAGTGTCACTAAAGAGTGACAACAATAGTTTGA